CCCCCCCCCCCCGGGGGGCCGGTTTTTTTTATTTCCCCACCCTTTTTTTGGGGGAAAGGCCCCCCCCCGGGGAAAAAAATTCCCCTTTTCAAAAAAAATTTTGGGGAATTTGGCCTTGGAGGCGGAGTTCCGCAAAAAAACTTAAAAGGGGGGGGGGGGTTTGAACCCCCCCCCCCCCCCCCGGAAAAGGGGAAATTTTTTCCCCGCCCCCTTTAGTCCCACCCCCGGGGGGGTTTCTCGGAAGGGATGACGGGATTTTTTTTTTCCCGGTTCGGGAGGGCCCTTATCGGGGGGGGCGAAAAAATTTTTCCCCCCCCGTTCCCTTTTCCCGGGGCCTTTTTGATTTCGGCCCCCCCCCCCCCCCCCCCCCCAAAAGGCCCCCCCCCCCCCCCCCCACACGCCCCCCACGCGGCGCAGGTTGCCTTCGCCGACCGCCTGCTGCTCAACAAGATCGACCTCGTGAGCGAGGCGGGCCTCTCCCAGATACGGGGAGATATGGGGAGATATGGGGAGATAGTCCAGCCTCGTGCCAGAGCAGCCCGGGGAGATACGGGGAGATATGGGGAGATATGGGGAGATATGGGGAGATATTGGGAGATATCGGGAGATATCGAGGCGGGCCTCTTCCGCATCGCGACCAGCCAACCAGTCCGCCACACAGTCACCATCAGCAAGCCAAACATCAGCAATTCAAACATCAAGAAACGAAACATCAACACACCACGCATCCTCAGCAAACCAAACATCAGCAAACCAAACATCAGCAAACCAACCAGCCGCGGCTCCAATGACTCACGGCTGAGTCTCAGCTCGGAATGACGCCTCAGGCGGACCTCTTCCGGATCGAGAGCCGGCTCAAGGGCATCAACGCGTTTGCGCCAATCCTGCGCACCGAGAAGGCGCAGGTCTCCGTCGACTCCGTGCTCAACATCAAGGCCACCTCAACTCTCGGCTAGATCTCGGCCGCGCCTCCCCTCTCTCTCTCTCTCTCTCTCTCTCTCTCTCTCTCTCTCTCTCTCTCTCTCTCTCTCTCTCTCGGCTCTCTGCCTCTCTCTCTCTCTCTCTCTCTCTCTCTCTCTCTCTCTCACACACACACACACACACACACACACA